TGTGCTAAAAAGCACACCAAAAAGCTTCACAGCAAGTGTCTGTCTGCGACCGCGATCTCACATAGAGGAAGCCACGACCACGTGTCAGAGCAGGGAAGATGGCCACGGGTCGTGTTGGTCACCCGATGCGGAGTTCACGAACGGAAGCAAAATTTTGCGAACACTGCTGTTCGTGAACCGAATTGGTCGTGAACAGAAGCGTTCGTGAACCGAGGTATTACTGTATTTTAAATAATAAATTTGAGGTCATTCCCTGTGTCTTTGCCCATTATTTCTTTTTATTTGGCTTATCAGTATATTGGAATAATTCACAAATTATGCAGAGTCAAGTAGATTTGATATTATTTAAGTGGTTATATGTTCACAAAAATACTGGTATATTTTATTAGAGCTTAGAAATAGGAAGTCTTTTTTATGGATTTACATACAGGGAAATTTTGGTAGGGGTATCATGTTTCTGTAGAGTGGCTTTTTGATATGCAAGACAGGAGATGACACCCTTTCTTGTCTGATTAATAAACTTTGTGGAAATGCCAGATTTTTGAAAGATTGAGAAATGGATCATTTAAAAAATGTTTCAGCTTTGCTTGTAACCTTTTCCTATATGAAAATTACTTGTTCCAATTTAAAAAATCCTCCAGAATTTATGACTATTTTTTAAAATTCTAACCTGGTTGGAAAGGATGAAACAGTTGTTGCTGTGTCTCTCCAATAAGCTGTAGGGATTTATTTCCATTTGTCAGTACAGTAGTATATTTGTGAGGGAGCTGTGACATAGTAAGTCAGTGTTTCTCCACCTCGGCAGGTTTAAGATGTGTGGACTTCAATTCCCAGAATTCCCCAGCATGGCTGTCTGGGGAATTCAGGGAGTTGAAGTCCACACTTCTTAAACCTGCTGAGGTTGAGAAACACTGCAGTAAGTAGAGCACTTGCTTGTAGGTCAGAAGTCTTGGGCTCAGCCTCACAGGGGAAAACTCCTATCTGAGCTATATTGGCTCACAAAATGGCTGCCATAAGTAGAATGTCTCTATTCTCAAAATGGCTGCCTAATTACCAAACACCCATTTACCAGAAGACAACTGGGAAGTCTTGTTTCTTCCTCTTTGTTCTCTTCTTGGCTCAGTGGGATCCACTATTTTAATTTTTTAAAGAATAACTAGGGTGATAGATATACTTTAAAATAAAAAGGAAATTTCTCATTTATTTTGTATTTTTAAGTCAGGAGGAAGAGTGAGCTGGAAAATACTAGCTACCTGTCTCTGCATTAGAAAGGCTGCTCCAGTCTCTGCTTAGAATGAAAGAACCTTCCAGCCATATCTGGAGCTGGATGTAAAATTTCCAGAAACATTGAAGCCATGGGAATCCCCCCCCCATTTTTTTGTAGGGAAAATGAAATGTATGGATAAATGGAAGTGTATACAATAATTAATTCTAACATACCTTAGATCAGTGCTTCCCAAACTTTTTCCTTCATTACCCAAAATCTGGTGGGTGCCTGTGAGCAAGTGAAGGAGGGAAGGAGGGTGCGGTGTGTGCGAACGAGCAAGCAAACAAAGGCCGAGACGGGTGGGGGAGACTTACCCAAGTGACTTGTGATCTCCCCTGCCAGCTTCCCCATTGGCCTTGCTTGTGGGAAGTCAGTAGGGAAGGTTTCAAATGGTGATCACGTGACCGCAGGACTCTGCAAGTGCGTAAGTGCGAGCTGGTTGCCAAGTGCCCAAATTTTGTTCATGTGACCACAGGGATGCTGCAGTGGTCAGAACTTCAAGGACCGGTCGTAAGTCCCTTCCTTTAGCAGTTATCCGTCGTAACTTAGAACGGTTGCTGAACGAATGGTTTTAACTCCAGGACTACTTGTATTATAAAAATAATATAATTGAATGATCTTTATGTCATTTCAACAAATTACCATTGGTAATTTCATCAATTTTCATCTTATCAGGAATACTTTGGGAGATTTTCAAATATATTTTAGTACACGTGGCAGTCTTTAAGTCAATTTAAATGTCCCTGTTGTGATTAGGTAAGGG